GAATGATGAAATGGGAAGGGTTTAGAAAGAGTTTTAGAAAGGCATGATTTCTAATCCAGGTGGCTGTTAAACTTCTCAGTGGCCACAGTGGATTTGTGAGACACATGAATGAATTGTGGGGGTGTGTAGTTATCCCTCCTAGGAGGACAAGTAAGACAAAATTACACTTTCCGTGAGTGTGGGCTGTACTTTATATAACCTTTGCTTTCTCAGTTCTCCTTAGCAAAATGACTAAATCTGAAGTGTGTTCAATAAAGAGCCATTAAACTGCACTCAACTCAGGCAACTGGGCTGGGATCTATAGAGCAGACTGGATTTTGGGTCAACCTCAAAGGATCTGCAAGAAATAGAAGGATGGATATGGATATTTCAAGTCAAGAATAACAGACACACAACCATGAAGGCAGGTAAAGATAAGCAGACACACAACTAGAAGGCTGACGTGCATGGAGTGGAGGATCTACCAGATGCCAGAACACATACACACACAGCAAGGAAGATTATATGTTGAAACACCTAATCCTACCCCATTCATATGTTAAAATTCTAGCCTCTGTTACTTCATAATGTAGCTGCACCTTGGGACAGACTCTTGAGAGGGATGACTGAGTTAACATGAGGATATATAGTGGGCCCAATCCAGACAGAGGCCTACCTCCTCTGCCTCTCCCTCTTCTCCCTTTCCCCTCTGCTCCCCCTTCCTCCTCTCCCGTTCCCTCTCCCTCTCCCTCTCTCTCACTCTCTTTGACAAGGTCTCAGTAAACTGTCCAGAATAGCCTTATAACCTTCAACATATGATCCTCCTGCTTCAGCTTCCAGAAAATCAGGGACTACAAGCATGTGGCATCAGGCCTGGTGTGTTGTTGTTGTTGTTGTTGTGTGTGTGTGTGTGTGTGTGTGTGTGTTTATGTATTTGGTACAGGGTCTCACTCTGCAGCTCAGACTTGTAATAATCTGTACATAGAACAGTACAAGGCATCCAACAGAAGCCAAATAGATGTACCTGCTCAGTCTTGAACTTTTGTTCAAGAAGTGACCCTCCTGTTTTCAGCCTCCCCAGCACTGAGATTACAAGTGTGTGCCTCCATGCCCAATCTGGGACACTGGCTCTGCACACCTGGGGGTGGGGCCACCATGGCATGTGGGACCAGGGATAGAACCCTGGGTCCTGTGCTTGCCAAATCAGGTGCTAAGCCCACTGAGCTATCTTGATGGTCGAGGCCTCATGTCTTTAGAAGAGAAAGAGACACCAAAGGTGTCCAAACACATAAGAAAGGCCACATGAGAACACAGTGAACGTAGCCATATACAAGATAGAAAGTGTATTAAAAAATAGAAATTGGTTTCTCACAGGTCTGGGTTGGTTTCTCTAGGTCTAGAGAGCCTAGGATCAAAGAGCTGGCATTTGGTAAGGACCTTCTTAAAGCAGCATCTCAGGATGGAAGAACATGAGAAGGGGAGAGAGAATGCTCTTGATTCCTACTTCTTAATATTCTTACAATAGTAATTAAATTTCAACCTGAGTTTGTATCTCAGTTGCTTTTTACTCATTGCTGGGACAAAATATCCAACACTCAAAATGAAGGAAGCAAAGGTTTATGTAGCTCGCAGCTTGTGGAGGTTTCAATCTATACTCAGCTGACTCCAAGGCAGAGTGGTACATGGCAGAAAGCAGCAGTTCATGGCAGCAGAAAGCAGCAAAGAGCAAAGGGCAGCAGCTGCTGCTTCTAGCAAACCTCTCTCCTGCTTATATTGTAAACAAACTACTCTTGGGATTAGGGGTGTAGAACTCACATAGTTTCCATGCCCTCCTCCTGCACAGGATGAGGATGGCACAGGATGAGGATGTTTACAAACTAAGAATCCTGGCTCCTTGCTGAGTCACTTAAACTTCTAAACTTCTCATGTTGACACAGTGTTTCAACCACTACAGCCCACCCCTTGTCAACCAAACATTTCCTTAAACCAGTTTCCAGGCATATAGACATGCTTATTAACATTTTACAATTTGAACATTGTATTACATTACAGCCATGACATTTGGCTGCTGGGCCCTCTCTCCTCAAAGACTCATGAGCATCCCTTTGAGTAAAAGGCATTTTAGTCCAGTTCTAAGAGTTGCCAAAGTCTTATTAACACTTTCAGCAATGCTGAAAATTCCAAGCCCCAAAATATAGGTAGAAATCTTAAAGATCTAGGAGTAGAGAGTTCATGAACAAAAACCAAATTGCAGGGGAAATACTTCAAAGAATCAACAACTTGGATCTCATCTTTTTGGAAAGTTTCTGCACTTCAAAGCAAATCTTCAATGGAGTAAAAAGAAAACACACAAACTGAGAAAAAACTATGACTGTCCCTCTGACAGACATTCTATCCAGAATATATAAAGAATTTTGGGGACCGGGGAGATGGCTCAGTGGAATAAGCACTTCCCTGGCAAGAGCAAGGGCCTGAGTTCAATCCCCGGTTCCACAAAAAAAAAAAAAAATCAGGCCCCCAAAATCCGAAGACCTAATCTAAAAATGGGCATTTGAAATGAATGTACTTCCCAAAGGAAGAAATACAAATGGCAAATAAATATATAAAAAAGTTCAACATCATTGGACATTCTAGAAATGCAAATTAAAACAATAGTGGGATTCCATCTCACCCAAGAAAGAACGGCTATCATCAAGAGGCAAACCAATAACAAACACTGGAGGGGCTGTGTAGAAAAAGGTACCCTTTTCCACTGTTGGTGGGAGTGCAGACTGGTGCAATCACTGTGGAAATCAGTGTGGAGATT